CCCATGATGAATCCCATCATCTATGGTGCAAGGACAAAAAGGATCCGGGAAACCATCCTTCAGATCTTCTGGATCTCATTTTCAGAAGACCGAGGAAAGGGAAAGTAATGCAACAGGCCACTTCCTTGCTACTCTTTATTGATAATTTCTGATATTTCGTCTGAATATTTTTCCACCTTTGGAACACATGGCAGGTGGTTGGGTCCATGCAGGTGGTGAATGTTTCTCTGTGGGAGGAGGTGGTTCCGTCTGCTTTGAAAGAGGTGGTTATCCACCCCCTCCTTAAGAGACCATCACTGGACCAAAGACATCTGGACAATTTTCATCCAGGCTCCAACCTTCCCTTTTCTGGACCAGTTTCAGATGGCCCTGGAAGAAGCAGGTTGTCTGCGACCTTTTTAGTCAGGATGTAGCCACTTTATAATACTGAGATGGCACTGAGCACACTTGTCGGTAAACTCTGTTGGGCTCAGGATAGGCTCAGGGCATGCATCCTGGTGCTGACCCAGTGCCTGGAAGCTGTGAGGCTTTGGCTGGGGAGAAACTGGCTTCAGCTCAACCCTAGCAAGACAGAATGGCTTTGGGTTTTGCCCACCCCCACCCCCCATGTCTGATGAGCGGTATCTTTGACTCTTGAGAGGGTAGCACTTCCCCAGAGTTGGTGTGCAATTTTGGTGTCCACCCGGACTTATGGTTCTTGCTTGAGGAGCAGGTGGCAGCCGTGGGTAGGGAGCCTTTGCACACCAATTGCATCCATTCCTGGACTGGACTGGGACACCTTGCTCATGGTCACTCATGCCTTGGTCACTTCCCAGTTGGAATATTGCAATGTGCGGTACATGAGGCTGCCCTTGAAGACCACCCAGAAATTACAATTCATCCAGAACACAGCAGCTTGTACAATATTGGGCACCTCTTGGTTTGCCCATAGTACACCACAGCTGTGCCATCTGTACTGGCTCCCAATTTCTTTCCAGGTGTAATTCAAGGTGCTGGTTATTACCTTTAAAGCCCCATATGGCACAGGGCCAGGGTATCTGCAGGACCGCCTCTCCCTGAGGGTTCCTGCCCATCCCACTAGGTCGGATAGTGTCATGGCCCAGGACTCAGAATCTGACTCTGAAGAAGCTGCTCCAGCTGAACCAGTGGGATGTCAGGCTCAGGAGACGCCAAGGCAGGAATCACCTGAGGCTGATCAAAGACAGCTACCATCAGAACAGCTGGAGCAGTCTGATGATGAGGCACGGCCCCCAAGCCCTCGGACTTGGTGAGTAGAGCAGAGAGCAGAGCAATGATGCTCAGTGAGGCTGCTTGCCAAGCAAGAGAGTCACTATCTTAATTGAAGAGTTAAGCCGCAGTCCTGACCCATGTTTCTCTGTTGGAAACAACCGTCTGATCTCCTGCTCTGGCGTGTTGTTCCTGTGTATTTTGCTCATGTTAAAAAGCCTGAAATATTTGGACTGGCTGACAAACCTGGCTTGGCTCTCAGAAATTCAGACTGGATATTGAGTTCTCTTCTGCACGTTCCTGTGGAAAACAAAACTACCCTGGCAGGCTTTTTTCCAAGAGACTCTGGAAAGATTTACATTCCTTTCCTCATTGTGATGGAATGGACTTATGAAGGCCAGGCTCAGGGAGATAAGTATGTTCTTAGCCCTCAACAGGAGCATGGGAAGTTCAAGAAGGTGAGGCTGGCACCTCCCTAAGGAATTCACGGTGTTGTGGCTGGCGGGGGGGGGGGGGGGGGGGGGGGG